AAGGTTTTGCACACAGGCGCTGTCAGGTGTTGGCGCGGCCCTGAGCATGCACACATTTCAAAAATCCATCGTGCTGGTACAATTTGGTACAGATTCGAAACATAATATGTTTCAAAATATAATAGATATCTACCTGTCGGGATGTACCCCATTTGGGGGCAACTTTGTGGTGATAAATATGTCCTTCCTGGATAATTTTCCTGAATGAAACCATTTTTGCAAGACCTTTCCAATGATATGTTCATTTGCATAAATCGTGGCTGTGTCTATATGTCTATAACCAGCTTCGAAAGCTGCATCTAACGCAGCTTCTAGTTCTTTTTCATCTGTAGCCTGGAAATTGCAAGAAAATATCAAAAAATTTATATTTTAGATAAAGTAATTGTTACAAAATAAAATACTAACTGTGAAAGTTCCAAATCCAACTGCCGGTATTTTAAATTTGCCAAGTAAATCAAATGTTTGAACTGCCATGGTCGCAATTGCAATAACAACTTATTACTATAACACACACAAGTAAAATTATTCACAATGATATTTATATCGCTGTATTTAGCTTGAATACACCCAGAGATATCGGGAGCACGCTGTTATAGACATAATGATAACGTTTATAAACACTTTTAAATGTAAAGGTTGATATGTAGTTTCAATTTTTAAATGCATCCATCATGAGTTGGCAAAATAGTAGGTAAACACAATTTTTAATAAATTTTATCGTATTGTTCAAGTGGCATTTTGATTAACTCATTATGAAATATTTACTAATATTTTAAATATATTCATTCTTATTATGTAAAGTTTTTTTATGTAAACTTGATATAATGTGATTTTAACAGAACGTCAACCGTTTTTGTAGATGTATCTGTTTTAAAAAAACTAAAGATTTCTCGAATATGAATGAGATAAACTTTCCGAAACGTATAGACATTTTGTAACAAATAACTGTTAACGATAGATATCATTTTCTAATGACAGGACTGGTTTTCATTGAAAGTAAAAAAAATTAATACTTAAATACTTTATTTTTTAAAAAAGGTACTTTATTGATATTGTTAATTTCTTATTCTAATTTATGATTACAATGGTCTTCTTGGAAATGGGTATTCTGGATGGTCTACAAATCTGCAACAATAAAAAAATGTTAAAAAATAATTATAACATTTGAAAATTAGATCTCTAAACTCACTCTTTACTGAATGACATAGTGGCTTGTCTGCCTTCTTCTCCCAAATCCAGACTTTCCAAAGATTTTAAATCATTTTCGTCCAGAGAAAAATCAAATAGGCCGATATTTTCCTTAATTCTGCTTGGAGTGACGCTTTTTGGAATGACAGCTACCTTTTTCTGAACCCAGTATTTCAGTAATATTTGTCCAGAGGTTTTGTGATGTTTTTCGGCAATGGTTTTTACTGTGGCGTTGCCCAGAAGATCTGGAGCATTGGTTCGAAGCCTGGAAAATCATCATTTATTATCAGTTTACTAAAATCTTTTTTTTTATATTTTACTTGTTTTTTAGTTTTCATTTTTTAAATATTTTTACTGACTTTATGACTATTTATTTTATAGAATTTTCATTTAGTTTTAGTTTTAATTGATAATCAAATTACTTACTATAAAAAATATATTAGTTATTGGTAAAATTAAGCAAATACGTACGGTCTTCCAACTTTTTCCAAAAACTTGTTGATTCCTGGATTACCCAAAGTCGAATACGAGATAGGTAAAACTCCATTTTGTTGTAAAAACTTCACCAATTCAGGTTGTTGCAAAAATACATGCAATTCAACTTGATTTGCAGCTGGTTTTATTCTGGCATTATCCAAAATTCTCTGGACTTGACTAATATTAAAATTGGAGACTCCAATAGCTTTAGCTCTGCCCAGATCAACTTGTTCTTCTAGTTTCTATAAAGTTTAAAAATATTCATTTATTTTATCTTGTTTGAGTTAGAATGTAAAATCTTAAGAAAGTAGTAGTTTTTTGGCAAGATCTTCAAACCGATAAAAAGTTTTCAGACTTTGATGTCCATTTTTTGTCTAGTTAGAAAAAATTCTTTTTTGGTATAAAAATTATCCAGAAAGAGTGTGAGATAGAAAAAGAAAGTTTTATAGACTTACTTTCCAAGTTGCTACAAGATCTGTAGGCTCAGGTTTAGATCCACCAGGGCCAGATAAGCTACCAGATGTACAAATCGGTAGATGTATCAAGTACAAGTCTACATAATCGAGTTGTAGTTTTTCCAAAGACTCTAGCAGAAATTTTTCAGCCCTAAAATTGTATATTGTCGGTATAAAATTGATAAATACAATCAAAATAGCAGAAACGATAAAAACTGTAAGAACTAAATGGTTCAGTTGATGTCTAGTGAGACATATTTCTATTAAAAGGCATAACTAATTGTAGTAATTCTAAAGTTTATAATGCACTGCTTTACTAACTTAGTAAGAAAATAAACATATAAGGGATTATAGGAGAAAATTTATGATTAGATAATTAAATCCAATTTGTCTAAAATTTTAACTATAATCTTTAGTTCGTTTTGGAATTTGTATAGAAATTTCTTCATGCAGATTTTTGGACTAGTATTAATATTATCAACAACATAGAATATAGTTTCTTTTTAATATGTTTAACAATTAGAACACACAAGTTTCAAAAATCCATCGTGCTAATACAGTTTGGTACAGATAATATTCCCAAGTTCTACTTTTATACCCCTGCCTAAGAAGACCAATGCCAAAAAGTGTGAAGATTACAGACTTGTCAGCCTGATGAGCCATACCCTAAAAATATTTCTGAAAATAATACACCAGAAAATTTACAAAAAATGTGAAAGGGACATAAGCGATTCGCAAATGGGGTTCAGACAAGGGTTAGGCACCAGGGAAACGATAGTTGCAACACAGGTGCTTGTTCAGAACTGCTACGATCAGAGAAAGGATGTGTGCCTGTGTTTCATAGACTACGAAAAGGCATTCGATCGCGTACAGCACCACAAATTAATGCAGCTCCTCAAAAGACTTGATATAGATCATAAAGACATCCAATGCATTGAGAAGTTATACTGGAACCAAACAGCACAAATAAAATTGTCCAATACCATGTCTAATCCCATACAGGGTTGCGTGTTGTCTCCAGTCCTATTTAATTTATACTCAGAAACTATTTTCCAAGAGGCTCTGGAGGACGTGGAAATGGGGGTCAAAGTTAATGGAGTGTGGATTAATAATATCCGCTATTCCGACGATACGGTCTTAATTGCAGACAATATACACGACCTACAAAAACTGGTCAACAAAGTAGGAGAACAGAGCAAAGCAATGGGTTTAAACATCAACATCAAGAAAACTCCATCCTAACATTTAACTCAAGGCCCATAGAAAGAGTAGATAAATTTAAGTACTTGGGCATCTGGCTCTCCGAAGATTGGACATCAGACAAGGAAATTAAATGTCGCATCGAACAAGCTCGGCAGGCATTCTCGAGGTTTCGAAAAGTACTTGTCTGTTCTGATTTTGACCTTAGCCTTAGATTAAGATTCGTAAAGTGTTATGTGTGGTCGGTGCTCCTTTATGGTATGGAAGGTTGGACATTGAAAGCAGCTACCATCAACAAATTGGAGGCTTTTGAGATGTGGCTATATCGCAGAATCCTGAAGATACCTTGGACGGCTAGATTGACAAATGAGGTTGTTCTCAGACGCGTTGACAAGGAGCGTGAATTGTTTGAATTGATTAAAAAGAAAAAGACCGCATACCTGGGGCACATAATGCAAAACGCCAAATATCAATTCTTGCATTTGTTGATAGAAGGCAAGATCGAAGGCTGGAGGGGTATCGGAAGGAAGAAAATGTCTTGGCTGAGGAATATTAGACAGTGGACAGGGCTACTCGATGTTCAGTCGTTAATACACACCGCCCCGAACAGAGAAGCAATGGAAAATGTTATCGCAAACATCCATTAATGGATCTGCACTAGAAGAAGAAGAAGAGAATATTTCCAAAATTATAACAGATATCTACCTGTCTGGATGTACTCCATCTGTAGGTAACTTTGTGGTAATAAATATGTCCTTTCTGGACAATTTCCCTGAATCAAACCATTTCTTCAACACGTTTCCTATGATGTGTTCATTTCTATAAACTGTAGCAGTGTCTACATGTCTATAACCAGCTTCAGCTGCATCTAAAGCTACTTCTAATTCTTTTTCATCTGTAGCCTATAAATTGAAGGAAAATATCAAAAAATTAATATTTTAGACAAAGTAATTGTTTCAGAAAAAAACTTACTGTGAAAGTTCCAAATCCAACTGATGGGATTTTAAATTTGCCAAGTAAATCAAATGTTTGAACTGCCATGGTCGCAATTGCAATAACAACTTATTACTTAAACACACACAAGTAAAACTATTCACGATGATAGTTATACCGCTGTATTTAACTTGAATATACCCAGAGATATCGAAAGCACGCTATTATAGACATAATGATAACGTTTATAAACACTTATAATTGTATAGTGTTAATTTTAAATACATACATCATGAGTTGGCAAAATAGTAGGTAAACACAATTTTTAATAAATTTTATCGTATTCTTCAAGTGCCATTTTCGATTAACTCATTATGAAATATTTACTAATATTTGAATTATATCCATTCTTATTACTTAAAGTTTTTTATATTAACATTTGTGTTCTGATATCCTTTAAACTTAAAAATGTTGTACTAGCAGACCTTGCAGTCGAACTTTGTTCTTTTTAGAACCTCTTTTAGTACGAATTGGTACAAGATAGCTTAATAGCCGTAAAAAACTCATCGCAACTTTATTAGAATATTTTGAACGGGAAAGCGGTAGTAATGGCCCTTTATGTCCCTTAAGTGCCATTAAGAAGGTGAGTTTTGTTGATGTAAATAATAACCGTTTATATATTTATAATTAATTTATTTTTGTTTTCTAAAATATTTTGATTAAAAGAAAATATGTAAAATTGGGCAACACTGCGCCGGTCAAGCTTAATCACGTGACCAAAAGTTTATTTAATATGAACTTATATTTACAATACTTCGTGTGATATGTGATTCTTATATTAACTTATGGTAATGGCCTTTTTTGAAAAGGGTATTCTGGATGCTCAATAAATCTGCAACAAAGAACAGAATAAATAAATAAACCCTCAAAAAATTGAGCAATAAAACTCACTCTTTACTCAACAGGAAAGTGGCCGTCCTTGCTGCTTCACCCAAATCCAAACTTTCCAAAGCTTTTAGATCATTTTCGTCCAGAGAAAAGTCAAACAAGTCGATATTTTCCTTAATTCTGCTTGGGGTGACGCTTTTTGGAATGATCGGAACATTATTCTGGATCCAGTACTTCAGCAATATTTGTCCAGCTGTTTTGTGGTGTTTTTCGGCAATGGATTTTACTGTGGCGTTGCCCAGAAGGTCTGGAGCATTCTTTCGAAGTCTGAAACATCATCAGTCAGCATTAACCATCATCAACTACTTATAAATTTAATAAAACAATTTTTTGTTTTGTGTTCTGCCAACCTTTGAGCGAAAAAATGGCCCCAAAAAGCCTAAAAATCAGTTTTTTTCGCAAATAGCTGCCAAAATATGCAATTTACAAAAATTTTAAGCTTAGACAATCACCTACAAAAATGGTCCTAATCATTTTTTCCATAGAATTAGTAGTTTTCGAGATATTCCGCATCGAAGATCCCTGTATATTTTCTCTCCAAGTTTTAACGCTACGAAGATAGATTTCATAAGGTTATCATTGATTGATAGAACAAAGTCTTTAATAACTTGCTAAAATTTAATATTTTTTGATTATTCAAAGTTTATTTAAGGGGTAGAATCAACAGTTATCATATTTTGGAACTTGTTTGAATTTTGTCATATTTTATGATAATAAAAAACATTCCTTAGCCCAAAAATTTTCAGATGTTTACTCACTTATTCATATTTTCACTAATAATAGCTTATTTTTTTATAACAGAGTCTTTTTAAGCAACTCGAAGTGTTTGTTTAATCATATTTTTAATAAAAACAACTATCTGTTAGTGGTTTTTCCTGTTCTTTTTTGGCATAGTACATATATATATATAAAAAAAAAAAATTGTATAATTACGAATAGTCGAATTGGTTTCTTTTACGAAAAACTACGAAAAATAGTGTCAGGATCATTTTTTAGCCAAGGACCCAATCTCCACTAAGCGATAATGAAAATCAACTACATGCAATATTTCGGCCAATATTGGCGAAAACCCGTTCTTTGACCTTTTAGAGCTGTTTTTAATCGTTTTCAGATTTTACAAAATGTAACAGGACCTTTTGTAGACAATGACCTAAGCTTCATTTTTTATTTCAAGAAAATTTTGTAAATTGTATATTTAGGATATTTGCAAAAAAACTGATTTTTCGGCCATTTAGGACCATTTTTTCAATAAAGCTGGCCGAGCATCGCTGTTACATTTTTCTTAAAGTCTACTACTCAAAAGGTACACAATCCGTCTAAAAAGTAAAGTTTGACGAGACTTGGGTCTCTTCGTGTCCTTATATGACTATTATCTTTACTCATATAAAAAAACATATCAGAAACTAGTAATTGGTAATCTTCCATTAAAAAAAAATCGAATTACTTACGGTCTACCAACCTTCTCATAGTACTTGTTGATTCCCGGATTGCTCAAGGTAGAATAAGAAATGGGCAAAATCCCATTCTGTTTTAAAAACTTCACCAGTTCAGGTTGTTGCAAAAAAACATGCAATTCAACCTGATTGGCTGCCGGTTTAATTCTTGCTTTATCCAGAATTCTCTTGACTTGACTGATATTAAAATTTGAAACTCCAATGGATTTCGCTCTACCCAGATCCACTTGTTCTTCTAGTTTCTAGAAGGTTTAAAAATACTTAGTTATTTCATTATAATGTTTGAGCTAAAATCGTGATTTAATTTTTAAGATCACTGGAAAGTAGTACTTTGGCAAGAGCTGCAAACAAAGAAAAATATTTTTCTTACTTCTGATGTTCATTTTCCCCAGTCTAGGTTATAAAATCCCTACATTCTGGTATTAAAATTCTCTAGGAAGAGTGAATTTTCTCTTTGGTCTTAGTAAAAAGAAAAATAAGGTTTCGTTGGCTTACCTTCCAAGTAGCCACATGATCTGTTGGCTCAGGTTTGGCTGATTCTGGCCCATGAGCTAAAAAGCCCGATGTACAAATGGGTAAATGTATCAGGTACAGGTCTACATAGTCTAACTCAGTTTTTCAAAGATTCTAACAGAAATTTCACAACCCTAAAATTGTATATTTTCGGTAGAAAATTGATTAATACAATCAAATATCAGAAACCAAAAAAAAAGCTATAAGGACTGATGAATTGTTCAATTGAAATGTTCTGGTTGGTTCTGTTCGGGTTACAGATAATCTTTTAAAATTATAATAGACTTTTACCTGTCTGGGTGCAATTCTATCTGGGGGCAACTTGTATGATAAAACGTTTTCGGGATAATTTTCCTGAATCAAACCATTTCTTCAAGACGTTTCCTATGATATGTTCGTTGCCATAAATTGTAGCTGTGTCTACATGTCTATAACCAGCTTCGAAAGCTGCATCTAACGCAGCTTCCAATTCTTTTTCATCTGTAGCCTAAAAATGAAAAATAAAATATCAAAAAATTAACATTTCAAACCAAATATTTTATAAAGAAAACCAAATCCAAATTCAAATCTTCCATTCTTCAGTCATTTAACACTAACTGATACAAAAATTCAACTATTTCAACAATTTCAGAGATATTAAAAAAAAAAAAAAAAAAATATTATAAATTATTTTTTTATAATATAGCATTTTAACTTACTGCAAAAGTTCCAAATCCTACCGCTGGTATTTTATATTTACCAGCTAAATCAAACGTTATTTGCCCTGCCATGGTCACAATCTCACAGTAAAAGAGATATATTTTAAAACTATTCGTGTGATAATTTTATACTTATGTTTTTAAATCTAATATACCCTGTAGTTATTTGACGAACGCTAATATAGATATAATGATATAGCCTGCGGCCAAATACAAATACATTTTTTTATTGACTAGTATGTCTCAAGTGGAGTTCGTGCAACATATTATGAAATACTGCTTTAATTTTATCTGTATTATTACTGATAAAATAGGCTCAAGGAAGATTTCAACAAACGATGATAGAAAAAGAAGATGACGTCCATACCAATCCGTTTATTTTACTAAAAAAATTTAATTTCTTTTTTAAGTTGACTATGGATGGGTTTATCTATTATTTCGTCATGTGTCATCGCTTGTTTTTTTTTAAGCAGTCTTATTGGTTTATTTGAAATTATAACTTGCGGTTCGTAAAAAAAACTCGAAATACCAAGGTGTGGTATCAAATTATTCGTAAAAAAAAGCTTTTTCCAAATATGCTAATGAGCTACCCTAGTTCCATTTGGAAAAATTCAGATATAATTAAAAATATGATTTGGTCATCTTTTAAATGGCTAGGACAAGACAATTAAAACATAGATTAATCAAATTCCATTTTTCTAAGGTTCCTTAGAAAAATTCTCTAGGATTGAATTTTAAAATACGATTTATTAAGCGAAATGTCAAAAGCTGATATATGATATGTCATTCTTTTCTAGAATATAATTTTCTATCGAATAAAGTATAAAATAAAAAAAAAAAAAAAAATCAAAAGTTGTAGTCATTTCCTGGTGAAGAAGTCACTAAAAACAATTGAATACGTCAATCAATCCTAATTTATGTCATATAATTTCTAAATATACATTACAAAATAAAAAAATGTTTTATTTTGAAAAATAAAAAAGTTATATGAGTTATATGAGGTGCCTGACCGCTGAAGTACAAGTGATCCTTTTAGAGAGTGTCAACTTTATAAAAAAAAAGCCAAGTAGTTAAGTGACAAATTCCTTGCGCTCAATCTCTAATCTCCATTAAACTTAAGGACACAGACGCCTATTTTTTTAATCCGGTCCCTCGCTTCGTAGTCTTCGGTCGTCGATGTTAAAATTGTAATTCGCGCGCACAGGAAAGGGTAAGTTTTTATGTAAATAACCTAATATTTTCAATTTTTTTTTTGCTGTAGATTGTCACATAAGAATTTGTTATGGTAATAAAGAAAAAAATAATAGTTTTACTTTGATTTCAGTTAAAATGTCTGTAGTGTTCTCGTGAAAGCCAGTGGTTCCTTATAAGGCCAATCGAAAATTTGACGGTTGGCCTTGCTAGAGTACATGGGCCTTACTAGGAACATTTACAAATCATGAAAATATGAAGCGGGAAAATTGAAACAATGTTTTATGTTTAAAATATTATTATTTATAAGGGTTATTCAACTTTTTAGCTAAAAAACATTTTGGCCTTACAAAAAACAAACCCATAAGAAGGCCATTATAGGTAATTTTTGTTTTTAGTAATTTCATTCTAAAACTCATTGGCAACTTATTTGTTATCGATTCGTTGAGTTTTTTAAAGAAGGTTATAATACGTTAAACATTTAATTTTTCGTTTAAATGAAAGAGCTTTTTATGTAGTTTTAGTAAAAGCGGATATATTTTGATTATTACAACTCTAGTTTTAATTTGAACGACTGATTTATAATATTGGCCTTGTATGGAGCCCTGTTCCTTGCAAGGCCATTGGGAAGAGCTTTATAAAAGTTAAGTTTAATAAATAGTGTAATAAATAGTTCAATTTAAACAAATTTGGTCCAGGCAACGGTTTATGGGGAATAAATAAAAAAATAGAACTTTTTTTAACTTATCTTTATTTATAATTTTACAAAAAAAATATACAAATTACACATTCCTTATTCCAAGTAATTATTTTCTGAAATCTGATGCTTTAGTATATTTTACTCTCTGGGAAATGGATACTCTGGATGTTCGATAAACCTAAAAAACAACAATTTTATAAAAAAATAAACTTTTTTTATTTAGACTTACTCTTTGGAGAATATGATGCTGTGGTCTCTGACTCCTTCCCCTTTATCCAAACTTTCCAGTTCTTTTATTTCGCTCTGGTCCAGAGTAAAATCGAACAAATCGATGTTCTGCTTGATTCTACTGGGTGTGACGCTTTTGGGTATGACTGCGATATTTTTTTGAACCAGGAATTTGAGTAGGATTTGTGCCACTGTTTTGTGGTGTTTTTTGGCGATTTTTTCTACGATGGGATTTTCCAGAAGTCCAATTAGTTTGAATTTTAAACTAAAAATTTGTTATTTGTTTATGGCATTAAAAACAAAGACTTTTCATGTAATTTGAAGTTCAATTATGATATTTTTTCAGCAATGCTGGTGATATTTTCAATTCCAGTGATATTACAAAAATAATAAATATAATGGCATTATTTTTATATTAAAATTGCTGTAAATCGTTACTGTTGTAAAGTCAAATCTTCGTCAAATCATTTTTTACTCACAATGGTGCACCGTGCTCGGCAAAAAACTTATTTATTCCTGGATTTCCTAATGAAAAGTACGATATAACCACTACGCCATTGTCTTGACAGAACTTCACAAGTTCCGGTTGCTGCATATAAACGTGAATTTCCACCTCGTTGGCTGCAGGTTTTATTCTGGAATTGTCCACGATTTTGGCAACCTGCTTCTGATTGAAATTTGACAAGCCGATACTCCTGACGCGTCCTAAGTCAACTTGTTCTTCCAGTTTCTGTAAAAAGGCAAAAAATATCACTCAATACATAATAACATAAAGTCAATATACGAAACAACATCATATACAGTAAAGATCAAAATATGTAGTTTATCTTGTTCTAGAATTTTAAAAACTTAAAAATATTCTTACCTTCCAAACTGCTATAAGATCGGTTGGTTCAACCTCAAGAGGAACCACATCTAGCCTCTCTTTAGTCGTAACAGGAAAATGAATCAAATATAAATCAACATAGTTAACTTGCAACTTTTCCAATGATTCGTTTAAGAATTTTTCTACTCTAAAATGAGAAAACAAAATATTAATAAGAAGAATATTCTAAGAATAACTTAACCCACAGCGTATATATTCATTAGACAACCAGTAGACTTCAACCAGTCTCAATAGTTTGTATAAGTAGGTACGCAGAATTTCATATAAATGATGGTAAATCGACTGGCTGTTTAATCAAAAGGCTGTCATTTTACCTATCAGGATGGACACCGTGTGTTGGCAATTTTGTCGTGATGAATATTTCTTCTCTGCGAAGTTTTCCCGAATCAAACCATTTTTTTAGAACTTTTCCTATGAGATGCTCGTTGTCATAGATGGTAGCTGTGTCTAAATGTCTGTAGCCAGCTTCTATAGCTGCATCTAGGGCTTTTTCCATTTCAGCTTCGTCAACAATCTATAAATCATTTATAATAAATCAACTTTTTATGAAATTCAACAATTACGTCCTCGACTATACAGTATTACCAATATTTAAACATATTTAGGTAGTTTATTTGGATTATTAATAGTTTTTTTTGTACAAAACGTCTTTTTAAAAATAAATATGTAAAAAATACCAAGGTTAAAGTACTATTTTTGATAGATATAACGCAATTTTAACAGTTGCTATAGAAAAAAAATATATGTAATTCTAGTTATTGTTTTAATTCAGAATTATAGTTTTTTTCGAAAAAAAAACACAAAAAGACTTACAGAAAAGGTTCCATATCCGACCGCTGGTATATTGCTTTTTCCAAATTTCGGTATTGACATTTTAGAGAAAATTCTTTTAAAACTATAAAGCAGACACTATTTAGTCTATCTAGAATATCTTGACTGGCTTATTGAACATATAGGTACCTTTTAAATAATAACCGATAAAACTAGGAAAATTACTTGCTGATTTCAGTGGCGGTACATATCTTCTGTGGGGTTTAGAAAAAAAGATAAGTCTAGTCTCATGACTAGCTTAGATATGTTTTCTTTCCATTCTTAAAAAAATAACTAATTCAAGATTGTTTTAAAAATATACTCCTCTGCACAAAATTCCGCAACCCTAAAAATTTGACTAACTTTGATGTTTCATAACTTTTTATTTTGTAATCCGATTTTTATTTTTATGGTGTCAGTATGAAGATAAATTTATTGGTATTATTTTTTATTATTTTAGTGGCTTATATTCTTCGGTTAGGTGTGTTTATACCGTGTGGAAAAACACCCTGTGGAAAAAATGAGACGAGCATTTTGGATAAAAAATACTTTCCTGCAATCTTAGATATATTCCTAACATTTCATTTTTTGAATTATCCCATTATCTCTATTCATTTATGAGCTACACATTTTAAAGTAAAGTATTGATTTCAGAGATTCTTTTATTGACAAAACAATAATTTTATAATAATTTTAATAGTGTGTATGTCCACCTCCCGCCGCAATAACAGTTCGAGGTCTTCATCGTATCGAATGAATAAGGGTAGTTATTATTTCTTGATCAAAGTTAAAAAAACATAATTTCTTAATATGGCACCCCAGAAGCTGCTCTGTAGCCGCGATTTGAGCCTAGATCTCAGAACTCGTATGCTCAAATGTTATGTATTCCCAATCCTTTTGTATGGTATGGAAGCTTGGACCCTAAACGAGCTTTGCGAGCGGAAACTGAGATGTGGGCATACCGTAGGTTGTTGAGAATACCATGGACAGAACATGTAATCAACATGGAGGTTCTGAGAAGAACGAGTAAGGGCGTAGAAATACTCAAGGAAGTGAAAAAAAAAATTGCAATATCTCGGCCATATCATGAGAGGTCCAAGGTATGAGATTTTGCAACTCATAATCCAGGGAAAAATTGTAGGAAAAAGATCTGTTGGAAGGAGAAGAATATCCTGGCTCAGAAACCTGCGAAAATGGTTTAATGTCACGTCATCTGACCTATTGAGGGCCGCAGCTTCCAAGGTCAAAATAGCAATGATGATAGCCAACCTCCGATATGGAGACTGTACATGAAGAAGAAGGTACCATAGGTTGGGTTATATACAAGGTGTCCAAGAAATAAGTGCAAGTATTTTATAGTTCAACCCCAGAAACACGCCTATGAGTTTTTTTTCGCGAAAAAACATTCTGAAAATTCGGAATTTTTTGGAATTTTTTTTAGTTATTAATTAAATAGCATAATTTCTTAATAATATGGCAACATAGGTAGTAGATTAAATTTGCAAGAAAGAAAATCCAGAAAAAATCCAGTGGTTCTCAAAATTTTAGCAAAAAATCATTTTTTTTATAAATTTTCAAAATAAAATAACTCCGTTATTTTGGACTTATTTGAAAAACCATAGTTTTTTTTCTCGTGATCTTCCACCCCTTAAAATACTTGCATTTTTTTCTGGGACACCCTGTATACATAGGATTAAATTTACAAAAAAAGAAAACCCAGAAAAGATCCAGTGTTTTCAAAATTTAAGCCAAAAACCTACTTTTTTGAAATTTTCAAAAAAAAATAACTCGGTTATTTTGGACTTATTTGAAAAACGGTAAAGAGAAAATATGTTTCTTTTATCGAGATCTACCAGCCCTGAAAATATTTGCACTTGTTTAATACTCGCCCTGTATAGTGCCTATGGCAAGTTACAAGTTTATATTGAATAATAGTCTCTAAATTATTCGAATTATTATTTCCTTAAGATATTTTGATATTGACGTATTTTTGTACGATATCATGGAAATAAATAAAAAAGAACTTTTCAACTAAATTTATTAAAAATGTAAGCCTTATTTTTCATATAGACGTTGGTTTTTTATTGATATTTTCTTTCGTTCCCTCCGCTACTGGTTTTATTATATTTTTTGCATATCTTTCTACTCGGAAATCACTTAAATTCTTTCTTTAATCTAAGATTAATAATTTTAGGGCCAGCCGGAAAGGAACTCCATATAAATAAATTAATTGATATCAAAATTACGTAAAGTTGTGTAAATTTAATAATTCTGCTATGAGTATGCATTTTTTCTTATCTCCCAGTTGAAGGATATTGACTCGAATGTATGAAATAATTTTGAGATAAAGTACCTATAAACTTTATCAACAATTGAGTAATTATTATTTGTTACTAGTTGTTGCTAATTGATAAACGCAAAATTGATAAAAAAAACCTGATAACAAATTTATTTAATTATACAGGGTGTCCAATATTACGTAGACATAGAACAACTACATATTTTTTTTTTAATCAAAATAAACAGAATTATACAAAAGTGCTTCGTTTTTCCGTTAGAGGGCATCAATGAAAAATAAACCTGAACATTAATTCATTTCAAATTTATATTTTTTTAAACTTATAAAGCTTGTTGTCAAATATTATTTGTGATACTATCATAAAATTCCATATTTTATCAACTAGATTATTAAAGCATAATAGATTTTATAATAACAAATAAAAAAAAAAAATTTGAAGTTTTTAAAGTCAGATTTGAAAAAAAAAAAAAAATGTTCTCCAAAAGTATGCATTGTATGTTTTTGTTACAAGTACAAAATCGTAGTAAATACTAGAAGAACCATTTTAAGAAAAAAAAAACCTTTTTCAAACCTAGTTTTTACCCTCTTTCCGTATTTTTTTAATTTTATAAAATTCAAATGTTAAAGCACTTAGCAAACATAGCCATCTAGAATCTCTTTTTAAAAGCCCTTCTTTCACCTCCTTCTATGGACCTCGTATTAAAAAAATTATTTGAACCAAACTCAAATTTTATTTTGAATATAAAACATTAAAATATATACACGAAAAAAAAAAAATACAAAATCAATTTCGCTCATTTTAGAAGGGGTATTCTGGATGATCCTAATCTCTCAGCAAAATAAAAATAAAAATATTTAAAATACATCAAAAATCGTTTATTCCAAACTTCACTTACGCCTGTGAATATACTTCGCCTAGATCCCTCACTCCTTCACCCTTATCCAGACTTTCCAGAGCTTTTACGTCGTCCTCGTCCAGATTAAAACCAAACAGATCGATATTTTGGTTGATTCTATCGGGGTTGATACTTTTTGGAATCACTGAGATATTCTTTTGAACAAGAAATCTCAACAAAACCTGTGCTGTGCTTTTACGATGTTTTTCTGCTATTTGTTGAACGGTTGGATTATCCAGAAGCCCAAAACTGTTTGAACTTTTAAACTAAAAATTTTTTTGGGAAACGTTTATTGAAATTTTGAAAACTACAATTGCTTACTGTCCGGAGCCATGTGCGGCAAAGAATTTGGCAATTCCTGGATTTCCCAATGAAAAATACGAGACCAAGGCTACACCGTTGTCCAGACAGAATTTTACTAGTTCAGGCTGTTGTAAATACACATGAAGCTCAACCTGGTTGGCTGCTGGTTTAATTCTGGAATGTTCCAGAATTCTGGCGACTTGTCTTTGGTTGAAATTTGACAGGCCGATGTTTTTGACCCGTCCCAAGTCAACTTGTTCTTCTAGTTTCTGCAAAGAGACAGAACATCAGAAGAATATTGTTGATTTTTTTTTTATTTTTTATGAATTTTCCAGAAATATTGGAAAAACTTAAACAGTATTTTGAAGAGATGTGAATTCTCCAATGAGTATCGGAATAATATACTGGGTGTTTCATTTAAAATAAAAGCGTAACTTGCTTTTGAAAGTGACCAATGTTCAATATTAATTTTGTCTCACCCTGTATTGCTTTCCGGGTCAAGTCTTAGTTTGATTTAAATTGGGGAGCTATTTGACCACTTATTGTGGGCCTCTACAGGTAAGTCTCTAATTTAAGCAGCTTTTATTGAAATTTAAAATTTATTCTTCATTTTTTATAAAATTGTTTAATATACCAAAAACTTTACATTTAGTTATATATAATTTCCTCTAATGAAAGTCACCTTTATTTTTCCAGAATCATGTATACACCTCTGTATAGCTAATTCTATGAATTTTTTTTGTCATAGTAAGATAAAGTAATTGATTCTAACTTTCCAAACTGCTAGATGATCTGTGGGTTCAACCTCCAATGGAAGCACATGTAACCTAGTTTTGGTTGTAACTGGAAAATGTATCAAGTAGAGATCAATATAATCAAGCTGCAACTTTTCCAAAGATTCCTTCAAAAACTTTTCAACTCTGAAACGAATTTTTACAGTTTATTAATAAAAAGTTGAATTCAAAGAGACAAGAGAAGACTTATTTGACATACGATATAAATTGACAGAATAATAAATTTTACTTTAAATAAATAAATATAAATAAATGCCTCTTTATTGTCGTAAATTTCCAATTTGTAGACAAAGGTAAACTAAACAAACAAAGTAAAAAAACAAGGTAATAATAAAACAAACAAACAAAAGATCATACAAAACATTATACAAATAATATTGTCAGTCTTATTGTTTAGAAGAAACCTTTTATAAATGTTTAAAATGTCAAAGAACAAAAAAATAAAAATGATATTCAAAATATTTAGTTAGTTTATAGTAAATATCAATGACCTCTAAATAAATTCTATATTTCGATGCCATTAGCAAATATAGCAATAGCAACATTAGACCAGTGTTTACAAGATCAAATTCGATTTTCAAAATATAATTCATTTACGTCGTAGAAAGCATTTGTGTCGTAGAAACTGTAGTGTGCATTTTTTCGAGTTGTATAATATTGAACTTTTAACTAACTCTGAGCGTGGGTAGGTAGATAAAGATCTTGCTCCGCGTTCCTGAGTGCATAAGTGTGAGATGGCCTCTTTCTTGAGAAGTTTCTGATACATGTTTACGTATTAGGCAACAGATTCAAAATATAAATAAATAAGGAAGGAAGAGTCAATATTTTAATTCTTTAAAAAGTCCCGGCAATGAGTTCTGCTGTTCAGTCCCAGGAATATCGCACAGCTCTCTTCTGAAGCCTGAAAATGCGGTCAAATTAAGTTGCACAACACGTACCCCAGAATGGAAGGGCATACCTGAGGTACGCCTCAAAAAGTGCATAATAAACAGTTCTAGCCACTGATAAATTAAGCTCCTTAGAAACAGACCTTAAAGCAAAACAGGCAGAGCTCAATTTTTCGACAAAGCTTCGATATGTGTCCCATTTCAGAGAATCTACAACAAGCCCTAAGAATTTTACAGATTTTACGACGTCAATGGTGGTGTTGTTAAGTACAGCTGCAGCGAGTTTTTATACGACAAAGCTTTTAGTTTTAGAAATGTTGAGACTCAGGAGGTCTGAATCGCACCAAGATTTAATGGTGATTAAGTCATTTGATATAATCCTATGAAGTGCCGTAATAGTAAGTGCTTGTTGCTCCAAGTGAAGCTAGTGTCGTCCGCAAAAGACATATTTTGCCACTGTTGTTTATGTTAGCAATGTCGTTAATAAAAAGAAGAAACAAAATAGGGACTAGTACTGAGCCTTGTGGTACTCCACATCCTATTGGCTTGTTAGAAGACAACGTGGTATCCACCCTCACAAGTTGACTTCTGCTGCTCAGATACGACTTAAACTATCCGAGAGATGATCCCCTGAACCCATAGTGCTGCAGTTTATTAATTAGGATCTTGTGATTTACACAGTCGAACTTTACAAGTCTTAGAAAAATCACAGAATTGTTGCTGTAGAATGATTTATGGACTTGTTGCTTAGAGATCCAAACTGATATTCAGTAAGTATTTTGTAATTAAACAGAAAAGATACTCAGCCTTCTTTTAACTAACCTTTCTATGATCTTAGATAGAGTTGGAAGGAGTGCAATTGGGCGATAGTTAGAAGCTTCATCTTTGTCTCTTCCTTTATGCAGAGGAATGATTATTGCCGTCTTGAGACATTTTGATAAAATACCCATTTTGGAACGACACGTTTATTAAAGTTGTTAGGTGATTCAGAGTGCTTTCTGGCAGATCCGAAAACATTTTTAAAGTAACTTTGAACAATTAAAATGATATACAACTGTCATAGTCAAGTAATACTTAATACCAAAAAGTCAACATTTATTAGCAAAATGTGACGAATATAATTTTTGGGTTTTATATCAACATTTTAACGGCTACCTTAATAACTAATATAGTTTGTCCAACAAATAAAGAAAGATTTCGACAAACAAAGTCCAAAAATAACAGAGAAAACAATTGATCTGTCAATTAAAATGGCAGATACTGTCACTATGACAGTGACATTTGTGTAACTAGGACAGTGACAGCTGGGTCTTCTCGTGGGACTATATATCATTAAGTTTTGAGGTTATAAAATATTTTATAATTTATCTTAAAATCATGTACCTATCAGGATGAACGCCATGTGGCGGTAGTTTTGTTGTGATAAAAATGTCTTCTCTACGTAACTTTCCAGAATCAAACCATTTTTTTAACACTTTCCCTATCAAATGCTCGTTATCATAAGTATGAGCTGTATCTATATGCCTGTAACCTGTTTCGATGGCAGCTCCTAGGGCCTTTTCTAGTACTTCTTCATCGACAATCTGTAGAATAATAATTATAATCAAACACTAAGCTGACAAAATAACACACTAGTATACACCAAAGATTCCATATCCCAACTGTAAGTCTCGAAGAACATTTCGAGAAATAAGTTACATTTTGAGAAAGAAAAACAGATATCTCAAGTAATATTTGATTTTGTATATTTAATTAGACTGTGTAATAATAAAGATAAATTTTGTGCCCGTGACTTCTAAACTGCAAGCTTAAAAATACTAGCAGACCTTGCAGTCGAATTTAGAACATCTGCGGAGGTACAAGATAGCTTAATAGCCGTAAAAAATCATCGCAACTTTATTAAGGAATATTTTGAACAGGGAAAGCTGTGATGGTTCTGGTCTCTTAAGTAATTTTATGACATGAATTTTGTTGATGTAAATAATAACTGTTTATACAGGTGTTTCGAAACAAATGCGAAAAATTCAGGTGATTTTGTTCAAAGAAGGTAAGTTTGCTTTATAAACGTTGGGTCAAAAGTCAACCATTAGGAGATATCGCGGTACAAAAATAATGTTTTTAAAAAAAATAATGTTTTTATTTTTTATCTTGAAACGAAAATGATAGACTAATGAAATTTTATGAAGCATTACTGTTATGAAAACATACTTTCTGGGTAATTTTCTCACTTTTTTAAAATGAGTGGAAGGGGTTGAAATAACCACCTCTATCATTTTGTTAACGAAATTTAAAAATCTTATCAAACAGAAAACGCAACACAATTTGATAGCTTGGTTTGTTTAGATATTCTTTTTATTTCTCCTTTGTTTCTTTTTGATAAAACTCCCCTGATTTGAAAATTAAAAAATAAAATGTAAAGCATTACATGTCAGGATAAAAAACATTTTTAGATAAAGAATCTAGTGATAATAACGCTAATAATAAGAACCTAGATAATAACGTATTGCAGTAGAGTAATGGTCAATAAAAATAATATTAGAATATTTTTTAATATTTTTTTATCTCCAACTTCCATTTTTCCTAAAAATTAGAGCAGCCCACTAGATTCTTTATCTAAAAATATCTTTTGTCCTGACATGTAATGCTTTACATTTATTTTTAATTTCAAATCATTAGTTCTCAAAAAAACAGAAGATAAAAAGTTGCCTTCATTAAGAAACTAGAAATAATATTTCTAAATTAATTTTAAATTTTTCTTTTTAAAACCTCGATAACAAGTGACAGGCGGTTCCAGTGGCCTCAAGTAAAAATTATCTTACCACGTCCTTTATCTTCAAGATAAACAAAAGCCTCCCCCGCTCTTTAACACCACGCGACGTTACTACCGCTATTTTGAACAAGGTCCCCAATTCCGCATTGTGAAAAGCTACCTTCATATTCAACCAATTAATTTATTTTGTTTCCTAAAAATATTTGATTAAAAGAAATGTGTAAAAATAGGCAACGCTGTGCCGATTAAGCTTAATCACATGACTAAAGTTTTTGATATGAACTATATATACAAGGTGTCCCAGAAATAAGTGCAAGTATTTTAAGAGGTGGTACATCTCGATAAAAGAAACATATTTTATCTTTATCATTTTTCAAACCAAATTCAAAACAACGGGTTATTTTACTTTGGCTAAAAAAAAAAAGATTTTTTCGTTAAATTTTGAGACAATTTTGACAAAAAATTATTTTTTTTTTTTAAATAAAAACTCCAAAAAAAGAAAAAATTCAAAAATTTAAAAAAAAAAAAAAAAAAAAAAAAAATATTTTTCGCGAAAAAACCTCAAAAAGACGTGTTTACCCGCAATGGTTGAACTATACTCCCCAGTTAAAATACTACTTATTTCTGGGACACCCTGTATATATTGATATATGACGATATTTTGCTAATCTTTGATACAATACTTTTTTAAAATATATGATAAAATTGCACAAATATTTAACATTTGGAATTACTTACGGAAAACGTACCGTAACCCACAGCCGGAATATTGCATTTTCCAAATTTTGGAACGGCCATATTGAAAAAAATTTCAAAATAAATGATGTTATGAAAGAATTTGGTATCACTACAAAAACTAATGTGTTAACGGACTTTCCGTTAATATGACTTATATTTAAATAATCTACATTATAATGTTGTAGTACTATATCATTAGATAACTTGTTTGTTTTAACCAGTGGCGGGGTTATTTTTCTCGTCACTGAAAAAAAACAAAAAAACAATTTTCATGGCACATGAAAATTCGTTTTTTTTAGTTCCCTGATTATTGCTGTTTTTTATAATTTTGTGTATTTCATAATATTTTATTACTAAAAGGTGAGGCTAAATATATTGGTAAAAGATCCTCCACCGCTGGTTTAATATATTTTTGTATGTCATACGATAATTCACTTCGGATTATTCTCAGGGGTTTTAATCTAAATAATATACTAATAGACTCGAAAGAATATTCGTTATAAATAAGTCGTACGATTATGAAAAACACTAAAAAATAAAATTACATAAAATTGCGAAAATTTGGCTATGTAATGAATGCGTAATTTTTTTTTTTTTTAATAAAATATAAATTACTCATTTCTACCCAAAAGAGACTCAAAAGAAAGGCCGAAAGTTCAAAATGCTTCAAAAAATATAAAATATTTTGCCACATTTAATTGTTTTATTCATGTCGATAGATGACGCCTAGAGCTCAACCTCGCCAAAATTATCATCGATTCCCAGCCGTCTTTGACGCCATTTTTTTTCACGATCGTATATGTGAATAAAGAAAAAAACTATTTAAAATATTTAAATTCAACTATTTTTTCAACAACAACAAAACCGTTGACGTTCTGTTAAAATGACATTATATCAAGTTAACCTTCAAAATTAACAATTACTACCTGATAACAATTTAATAAGGTAAAACTAAAAAACCCCAAACTTTCTGTATGATTATTTTTAATTTTTACGTATGTTATGTTTATTTATGTTATGTTCTTTAAAATCAAAGAAGCGATTGCTATACATTACTAACATCTACAGATGCATGAGCAATACATTTATTTTGATTAGATTGTAGTAAAAAAGCCTTTTTTATTTTTCTTTTAGAGGCTATCGCTTCTTTCATTATAATCCTGTGTTAAATAATCTTTATGTTCTTTAATTCAAACATTTAAGGGTCTAGATGTTTCACCAATATAAAATTTATCGCATTTACATGGTATTTTGTATATTACATTTTTTGTTTGTTGTTCTGTATTCATTGGTTTAGTATGCGATAAAATGTATCTAAATATATTTTGTGTTTTGAAAGATGTTCGTATGTTATATAGTTTTCCTTCCTTCCTATTTTTTTCCGAAACGCCTCGTATGTATGGAAATATAAGTTCTATATTGGGTATTGTTATCATTGTGTCTATGATTTGGGGTTTGTATTTCATTTAATGTTTTGTCAATAAAATATGGTGTATAGACGTTTTTTATTAATGTATTTTTTATGTGGTTTATATCTCTGTTTAGTGAAATGTCGTCTGAACATATTTTTTTTGCACTATCATATAAACTTTTTATAACACCTTTTTTTATTACACTTTTACTGTGATTAGATGTGATTTTTTTTGCATTATTTTTAATTATTCTAATATTAAACTTGTGTGATTTATTTCGTAGTAAAAATATATTTAGTAAATATCTTATTGGGAAAATCCAAATAAACAATCTAATTATGTATATTCGTAAGACGGTTATCATTGTTTATTATTATTTTTAACAAATATTAATCACATGGCCGGTCCATATCGTGTCTTGACCCACAGCTTATTAGCAATACAGACTAGTTAGAATCAACATGAAGCTCTTAGTTTTTACTATTATTTTTGGATTATTTTGTCACGGTACTATGGCATGGGTGGGGATAATTTTGAGAAACGATACAGAAAGGGCACCCCATAAAATACCAGGTGAGTTTTTAATATACATAATGTATACAGGGTGATTATTTTGAAAAGTACCACTCGGCAATATTTCCTGTAGACCAAAAATTCTCTCGGAAAAATTTCGAATACGTATGTTAAATGTTTTTTTGCCATTCTTAAATATTTAAGTAGTTTCGTATATATACAGGGTGTCCCTTAAATAAGCGCATGTATTGTAACTGGTTGTATAATTCTCCTGAAATTTATTAATTGCGTAATGTTACCACTTTCTACGTTACCTACAATTTTCTATACAATAAATTAAGAAGATTAATTTTAGTTACCTATATCAGTTGTATTACTAATAATTATACATTTTTACTGTTAATTTGAACTAAATTGAAAGAATAAATCTTAGTAAATATTGCAGTTTCTCATATCGCCATATTTTCATCCATACTTTCATTGGATGTAGCAAAAAAAAACCGTCGAATAAGCCGGGATTTTGTTGATTACCAGTTAATGTCGTCGTTTCAAAACTAAACAAAAAATATGTTTCCTTTGTCCAGATCACCACTATTTAAAATACTTACATTTATTTATCAGACACTCTGTATATATTTACAATCTTTTTAACCATACTGTATTTGTATTTCTAGATAACCGTTGCTTCAGTTTGTACCAGGACATCGGAGAGCTGGCGTTTGGTGAAAGCAAAAAACTGTCAGGAAGCTGCGCCATAGCAACCTGTCAACCAAATTTGGACCTAGCCCTGGAAGGGTAAGAGCTATTTAACATATTTTACTACAAGATGCCAAAACTTTTAAGTATTTTGTTGTTTTTTGGCTAGTTTTATTCTTAATAACAGTGCAAACAATACTACAAATTTTGTGTTGATTGTAGATCTGTTTGTAACAACCATATTTATTATAAAAAATAACACATTTCTATATAGTATTATAAGTTAATATATGTATATATATAATTTTGGAATTATATTTAATTCTAAATCAGGTGCTCTACAGTAGCAGTAGACGGGGAATGTCAAATTCTAGATGGAGATATCAATGATCCGTTTCCAGATTGCTGTTACAAGATAGTTTGCAAAGAATCAATTTTGAACAAAATATAATTTATTGTATATTCATTTAACAAGTATTATTAAAGATTATTATAAAAGACTCTAAATAATCATTCGTTCAAAAAACTATATAGATATGTTCTCTATTAGAGAATATGCTGCAAATATGTACATATACAGAAATAAAAAAAATGAAGAAAATCATACATACAACCTAATGAAAATATATTATTTTTAAATAGTTTTTGGTTAATGACAGTGCCAAGTAGTAGTTAACAAATCTTGTTTTCGATTATTCCAGTAAACAAATAATTTGAAATAAACAACTCTTTTCTATTGCTTTGTTTTTGATTTAGTGGATAAATAATATGATTTTCAGATAAACTAAATCCAATATTGACACAGACACCACTCAATTATGCTTTCGTTCAGTTACGTACTAAAAGGTATTTATAGCAAGTACAATTTAATTTTGAAATAGACAGCCATATGTCTCTTCTTTATGCCACAGTGGCTGGGATAATCCACTAAATTTGTCGTTTAGGCTATATAGATTTTTTGACAGGCAGTTTGTCCTCCAAAATTTTAAATACTCTCCGAAAGGGTTAATGTTATCAAAATTCATAAAATTTTACAGAGAATTTAAGTATATAATAAAAAAAATAAGAAAGTTGCTGTTAACTTCAGGTATTTCCGGAAGTACCGCCATATTGAAAATATTTTTTAATCGATAGATCATGTTGTGAAACAGTGATGTGCAAAAAATGTTCGATCTAGATATTTTAGTTCCCTAAAAACTTCTAATGCACGCTCAGCCTGGACACCCTGTATATCCCTCTCTCATACAATCTACATCATTTACAATACTTAATCTATGGTAGATTCCTAGAAGTTTTTAATGCAAGCCCAGTGAGATCAGCGAAACTCTATAATACCTGCTAAAAAACTTTTATTTACTACATCCATAAATAACACGGTAAAGTGATAACTACAGCGTCACCTGTCTGCATTCCACGTAACCTTTTTACGATTATTATGCATTCCCTTCTTTTATCTGGGTACTTCCGCAAAACAAACATGGCCGTTGTCGCGATCGGCCAGCCCGAAGATAAGGAGAATGAACCGATAAAAACGTTGCCCCGGGTTTCGGGGTAATTTATTGGCGAGATTAGTCCGCTGGCTGTCGAGAGGTGCACTTTGTCGCGTGTGCTCAGGCAGGTGAGAAAAAACTGCCCTTTGCTTGTATGTGTTCGATGTTCAGAGTTAGAGAGATATAAGTGCTATCAGCCGGTGTTATTTGGTGGTCAATCGATTAAATGATTGTTCTTAATCATTTAGCCATCCATCAGCAGTTTACCATTAGCTGAAGAAGTACGATTCTTCGGTTGGGGGATATAAATTCATTATTAAATAACATTATTATCATCAAAGAATATATTAAAACTGAATTTTAACGATAAAACTGTCCTGGAGCGGGTCCTTTCAAACTGGATGGCATGTGTCCATCAGCAGTTTACCATTAGCTGAGGAAGTACGATTCTTCGGTTGAGGGGACCTATTCATTATTCATGCTATTATCATCAAATGAATATATTATAACTGAATTTTAACGAGAAAACTGTCCTGGAGCGGGTCCTTTCGAACTGGATGGCATGTGTCCATCAGCAGTTTACCATTAGCTGAAGAAGTACGATTCTTCGGTTGGGGGATATAAATTCATTATTAAATAACATTATTATCATCAAATGAATATATTATGAATTGTAACGAGAAAACTTTCCTGGAGCGGGTCCTTTCGAACTGGATGGCATGTGTCCATCAGCAGTTTACCATTAGCTGAAGAAGTACGATTTTTCGGTTGAGGGATATAATTCATTAATAATATTATCATCAAAAATATATTAAAACTAGATTATAACGAGAAAACTTTTCTGGGTGGGTCCTTTCGAATTGGATAGCATGTGTCCATCGGCAGTTTACCATTAGCTGAAGAAGTACGATTCTTCAGTTGGGGAATATAAATTTATTATTAAATAACATTATTATCATCAAAAGAATATATTACAACCGAATTATAACGAGAAAACTTTCCTGGGTTGGGTCCTTTCGAACTGGATGGCATGTGTCCATCAGCAGTTTACCATTAGCTGAAGAATACGATTCTTCGGTTGGGGGATCTCTCAAATTCATTACTAATAACATTATTATCGTAAAAAAATATATTAAAACCGAATTATAACGAGAAAACTTTCTTGGAGTGGGTCCTTTCGAACTGGATGGTATGTGTCCGTCAGCAGTTTACCATTAGCTGAAGAAGTGATTCTTCGGTTGGGGATATAAATTCATTACTAAATAACATTATCATCAAAGAATATATTAAAATCGAATTATAACGAAAAAACTTTCCTGGAGTAGGTCCTTTCAAACTGGATGGCATTTGTCCATCAACAGTTCCTTAGCTGAAGAATACGATTCTTCGGTTGGGGGATATAAATTCATTATTAAATAACATTATTATCATCAAAAGAATATGAAATCGAATTATAACGAGAAAACTTTTCTGGAGTGGGTCCTTTCGAACTGGATGGCATGTGTCCATCAGCAGTTTACCATTAGCTGAAGTACGATTCTTCGGTTGAGGAATATAAATTAATTATTAAATAACATTATTATCATCAAAGAATATAATGGAAACCGAATTATAACGAGAAAACTTTCCTGGGTTGGGTCCTTTCGAACTGGATGGTATGTGTCCATCAGCAGTTTACCATTATAGCTGAAGAAGAACGATTCTTCAGTTGGGGAATATAAATTATGTCCCTTTCAAAATATGGAATCATCAATAGAGTGAGAGTGAGGGAGAGAAAAGAGAGAGAGAGATGTCTCAAAATGAATTATAACAAACAGAAATAATATATAACGGACTAGTAGGAAGAAAAGGAATTCTAATAAATAACACTAAACTGGAAATAGTAGAAGAATATATATATTTGGGACAACTAATACACCGCTCGGGATCTCTACTACCAGAAAACAACAGAAGAATCAAGTTAGCATGGGGTACTTATGGAAGAAACTCAATCATATTTAAATCTGGAATGCCACACTGGGCCTAAAGAAGAGAAAACATTCGACACCTATGCATGCGAAACCTGGACACTTAAAACGGACATTATGAGGAAACTGCAGGTCGCACAACGCTCAATGGAACGAAATATGCTGGCAATAACTAAGAGAAACCGTAAAAAGAATGAGTGGATACGACAAAAGACCCAGGTAATAGATGTCATCCACAGAGTAATCCCTCAAATGGCAATGAACAGGACACCTGACAAAAAAAACGGACAACAGATTGACCACAAAAATTACAGCATGGTCTCATGAAGAATTAAGAGACCTAGACCTGAGATGGGACCAACATATTAGGAAAGTGGCAGGGATAACTTGGCCCAGAAATGGTCAACAACAGACAACAATGGGCTCAACTACAAAGAGAATATTTAATTATGTTAGGGATGCTACACTATCATTAGAAATGGTTGAATAAGCTGAAGATGATAATGATGATGAGGATGATGATATATAAAATATATATTCGACGAAAATATATAGGCCAGTTTTGTGGTTTTATAGTGTTATCTATCGCATTTAACATCTATGGCTTGTGCCGGCTCTCTGACTCGAGGCCCATAAGCGTATTCATTACCAATGGCCGCCTATTTACATAGACGCCGCGGACTGAGGATGAACGAATTGAATCGAAACGTCAACTCGTCGGGCAGTCGGCGACATGCAACGCTGGCGCAGAAATTACAATCGCAAATTAGGAGAATATTTAGCATGGAGGAAGGGGTACGTATAATGGAAATGATGGAGATAAAGCCGAAGGAAAAGATTGGAAGCGTTCATTCAAAGCTCAGTCGTTCCTGCATATAACTGGTTTGCCTGCTTGTAAAAGATTGGTTTGTTCAAAATGTAAAACTTTGGTCTTTAAAAATAGTTTAGTATCTATCTGAAATAATTTTTCTTACTTTCTTATGAAGGTTTACCATCGCTGTCACGTGTAGTTTCTATAGAGTGGTTTAAATGCCAGGTACTCCAAACTTCAGCCAAAAGCACTTAATACACTTTGAATAAAGAAGACTAAGGAAGGAACATATCAAAAATCTTAGGTACACCGCGATGGGCCTCAAATAGTGCTGAACAGTGCCGTTCTAATTGTATTTAAAAAATGTAAAACTATGATGTAGGGTAGACGTGGGGTAGACTCAATAATTTGTTACATTTTTATTTTACGTTGTGTGAATAAATGTTATAAAAATATATAATTCTAATAAAATAGATAAGTTATAATAGTATTTATTAACACAAACATCCGATACGCTACTGAAGCAGAGTAAAGTCAAATTGTCGTATCTAAATTCTTTAAGATAATCTTTGACCAGAAGTACCTAAAGTAAATAAAAGCAAAAATGCAGAAAAAATATAATTTAGTTAATTTGTTCATAATGATCGGTTTTACTACACGTATGTATATTATATAGTCACTTACTAGCGAAAAGTTGTTCCATTATTTCACTCAATTTTTTGCCGAGACCTACCGCACGCTACACAACCAACTATTTTAGAGTCTTTTTCGATAAATCGCGATAGTGTCACTGTTAATTTAAGTTCTGCCACAATTTCCATCTAGATTTACTACCTTTATACAACTATCAGTAGTAGAATAAATAATAAATAACATAAAAATAAGCTCCGTAAAGACTGACAAATCCACAAAATTTCAAATCAAATTCAAATGTTTCAAATGAATCACGTCCATAGAACTGTCAAGGATCCCCACCTTAGAGTGCTTTTTCCGCCCACCATGCATGAACACATGGATAGCATTATGCTCCTTCCTTAATCTTCTTATTCAAAGATAATACAGTTATATTTTGGAACAAAACGACTTTACACTATTTACAGCTCTCTTTTGCCTGGCTGTAGTGTCGTAACCAGGAAATTGCAAAAAGACGTATAATTATACCTGTTATGACGACTACCTTTTCCGTCATACCAAGCTATCTTTAATTCAAATTTTTAAAAATAAAGCTTACAATTGCTCCCCTAACCAATTATATAAACCAAGTCCAAATAAAAGTGTATTACTGATATAATAAGAAACATTTGACAGAAAATTGTACAACAGGGCCCGAATTCTGTAATTTCGAAAACGCTAAGCGCTTTTAGACGCTCAGCGTACGTGACGTTAATTTTCGCTGAGCGCGCACTTAACTACCAATTTGGATATTCTCATCTGACGCGCTTGGCTTCTTTACTGATTGCGCTAAGCGCTTTGAAAACGGTTGCTTTAAAGGATCGTTTTGTTTGTCGAACTGTCAGTGAAAATCGAAAATTTGTGATTTTGTGCAATTATCTTAGCTCTTTTAATGAAAATTAATACTTCTGATATAAATTCTCAATAAGTAATTGATAATTTACGACTTGGCAGCTATAAATATTGTTCAAAAACATCGAAAAATGCTTAGAAGAGTCTTCTACCACTCTCGTATAATAAGAATAATGTCATCCATAGAAAAATAGTTTGACGTAACCTAATAATAGGTTATGAATTCACGTAACATTGACATTTTTCATTGTTACATCCGTCAGTTATCAACTTTTTTTGACTGTTAGCTACATTAGAAATTGTGATGTTGCTAATATGTGCTCAACGCGTATCCAGAACACGATTCGCATGGCAACGAGAATACAAAAATCGACTGCCTTGCGTTTCGCTGATCGAATACTTTGCGCTCACCGCTTGAAAGCGTAATCGTTTTTATGTCAAAAGTTAAGCAAAATACGGCTCAGGTATTTATGTTACAATTTGGAACCAATTTTTGACTTAACCATTGAGACTTTGACCATTTTGGACTTAACATAGTTTGCTTCTAGGGTACTAAACCAGAATTTCACTTATTAGTTTCAAGCAGAAAAAAAAACGTATCTACAAAAAGAAGAATTATGCTGGTCACATTTAGGAACAAAAGAGTTTCCCGATAGCAATCTGTCAAATTTTAACACGTCACCCTTTTTTATTTCTCCCAATACTTTCCCTTTCAAGCTTATCTCCCTCTTCGGTCTTTAATTATACTGATTCCAATGTCTTTACTTCATCTCCTAGCCTGCTAAAGGACGAAAAAAACGACGACCAAACGTAATGGCCGTTCAACTAATAGTAACGACCACAAAAGGAATGTCGGATCTCGTTATGGCGGACATTTTACGACTGTTGTGACTTCGGAATTTCGATTATTGGCTGGGTAGTAGTATACTGCCCCACTAAGAAAAACCCTGGTATCTCCAAAAAATCAAAACGAGATTTTTGCACCAAACAATTAATTGTGATTTTTACAATATTTACGTAGGAAAAAAAACCTGGCATTTTAATTTCCTACATAATTTATAAGGAAAAATTGTTTCCCCGTAAACGCCAAAAATAGTCTCTATGCTAAGTATAAACCTTGTATCATATATTTTCTTAGCAAAATTCTGGTATGTAACAGGAGATACGAGTTTTTAACGAAGAAAAATCAATATGCCAGGTTTTCTCTAAGGATATCCGCGTGTTCACTATCGACGCTGTCGATAACAGGTTATCACTTAGCATTTTGCCGAGTAAGCTATCATTTTATTGATTTGTTTCGACCTGTCATGTCGCACCGGCATTTGTAAGGTTATTCTAATTTTATTTGGAATACTGTTTAGAATATTACTTATTAAAGTGGTGATCGTTAGTGGCAAGAATATTAAACATCTTCCTTGGGTAAAGTTTTAATTCTTAAATTATTATTTCTAGAAATAATAATGCTCCTTAGATTTCAATGTGTCTGTAAAAGCCGATTTAGGGTCTTGTAAACATTAGGTACCTATCCACTATTTTTCAAATTATTTAAATTTTAAGGAAGAGCCCTCGATATCTAGAATAGTTTAAAAGAAAAAAAAAAAAAAAAAAAAAAAAAAAAAAAAAAAAATTAAAACATAATAATTAAAATAAAGAATGTAGGAAATCCTATGAGCGTTGCCAACTTTCCTACTGCTTCTGACATTCAAAAAAAGTGATTCATCAACAATTTTTCTATACAGAATAGTTAAACAGAACATAATTTGCCAAAAAAAAAAAAAACATTAACAATTGGTGCGAGTGGATACCTAATGTTTACAAGAACAGCCAATTTATAATATTCGGCGCTGTACGTTGACGTCTGGTCTTTAAATCAAATTAAGTAATATGTTGTTCGTATTATCAGCCTCTAAAGCCGAATATGGACATTTTTGCTTTTACTATTAATGAGTGGTGGTATCCAGGGTGGAAGGGGTAGGGACAATATTTAAATAAAAACAATTACAAAAAAGTGTATAAACTACTTCGCAATCGAAAAATTGTCGGGCATTTAACTATATTTTTGTATTAAAACTAAGGTTCGATAGTTCATTTTTCATGACATTTTAGGCCCATGGACGGGACACTACGTTAGTGCGGCAGTCGTCAACATAAAACGTCAAAGTTTGTAAATCGACCTTAATGGTCTACAAAAATAAAAGTACAGCCTAAATTTTGTTTTGTATTAATTTTGGAATGGTAGTTTTACTAACTTATTTTTTTCTGTTTACATACCCTATTATTAAGACCTGATCCCCTGCCCTGGTAGAAAAGTATTGCCATAATAGGATTTATATTTTATAAACAGGCATGTCTTTGAGGTCAAAGAAATTGGTGGCTATGGCGCTGCATAAAACTGAATCAGATCGATCATCAAATGAGCAGAAGTTATTGCCCCTTTATACCGAAGATGACATCCAAATAGGTGTTCTGGAACCATTATCGCGTTGCCCCATACAAGATTCATCAAGTAGGAAATGTCACGGAGAAATTAAACCAAAGCAAAAAAATACTGACGGGTGCTTTTTGAAAGTGTCATCTCATTGTGATGGTTTTTCTATTCAGCCTAGTATTGAAAATGAGCGCGTTGAAGTAGTTTTTTACACAAATAATGATGCATATCCTACCGACATTGTTACTGACACCGATGTTATAAACGATTGCGGCGACTCCAATAAAAATGACTCGTTGGCTGACACAGCTGATGTTTCAGCTGGTACTATAATAAACAATTATAATTTTGAACTATCCACGACAGAAGACCCTATTGCAAATGATAATAGTAAGTTTCATCTCAAGTAATTTAGAATTATTGTATGTAGAACTGAGATTATTTTTTAGACCAACAGCAAGAAACAGAATTAGATTCCAACGGCTATATTTTAGAGGCTGATGACCTAGCCAACAAAATATTAATATTACCAGAACTGGAAGATCAAACATTAGTTGAACCTATTGAACCTATTATTCCATCCGATGCAATAGAAAATAATGCCGATCAAGCTTTTTTGTTTTTTCTTTTGTCTTCAACCTTTATTAAATGAAATTTTATTTTACAGGTGATGAAAAAGCACACGAAAAAGCGAAAATTAGAAAACGGAAGAGTTTCAACATATCGGTGGACCAAAAGGAAAAAATTAAATGCTCAGAGATACAACAAAAACATAAAGTTCAAATACCATGTGACGCCAATAAATGCCAAAAGAAATGCTCAGAGAAGATCGATCAAGATAGACGAGTAGCAATAAATAAATGTATTGGAATCTAGGATTGCAGCTAAAAACATACATCCTTAATTCTGTCAACAGAGCCCCGATAAAAAGAAGACGCTCAGATTCTTCAACAAAACAAAATAGCTTTAAGTACTTTCTAAAAGATTCTGATGGTGAAACACAAAATGTCTGTAAGATATTTTTTTTGACGACCCTCGGATATAAAAAAAACAACGATTGGGCCATCCAAAGCTTTGTACAACAAGATTTTTTTAAAATGGAAAAATCGCCCTGGCTGACAAACGTGGTAGGAATGCGTCCAAGTTTAAAATATCTACCGAAGATATCGAAAAGCATATAGAAACATTTAATCCAGTAATTTCACATTACCGGAGAGAGCATGCTCCGCATCGCCGCTACCTGCCGAGTGATTTAACCATTGATGCAATGTATACGAACTTCCTGGAGACTCATCCTGATAAGAAATGTTCATATGAGGTTTACAGGAAAGTGGTTAAAAGCAAGAACATCTCGTTTACGAAGTTGGGCCACGAGGAATGTGAGCTCTGCGAAGGATTTCACTTACATGATGCTCTACATAATGAAACAAACTTGGACAGAAACTGTGAAGTATGCCAAAAATGGGAAGTGCACATTAACAGGGCAAAAAGGTCTAGAGAATTATACAGAAAAGAATGCGAATCAGTTTGTGAACCAAACACGTTAAGAGTTTCAGCTGATCTTGAAAAAGTAATAATGATTCCTCGATTGATATGTTTAAAAAGTTGTCTTCACTCAAAGAATAGTCGTATATAATGAAAGTTTTGTGCCATTAAAAACGCTGAAGAACAATAAGCCATTTGCAGCATTGTGGCACGAAGGAATATCAGGCAGAAGCAAGGAAGCAATTATTAGTACGTTCTTTTCATTTATGTTGCACAATCGTGATGTGGAGCATTTTGCGTTTTGGTTGACAACTGTTCTTCGCAAACAAAAAATTGGGCGTTTCTTTCATTTTTAATGTTCATAATAAATTCCGACAAAATGAAGGCTAAGGATATTATTCAAATTACTTCGAGCCTGGCCATACTTTTATGTCCGCCGACAGTTTCCACCATCAGGTGGAACTATCGCTGAAGAAAGCAAAAAAAGTTTACGACTTTCATGATTTCGTTGAAGCAGTTCAAACCAGTAACTCGAAGCGTGTTACAGTTAAAGAAATGGCAGTTGCTGATTTTTTCGACTGGAAAGACTATTCTTCACAGGCAAAATTGAAAAATTATTCAATGAGTTTACCTGTCGCAAGTAGTTAAGGTAATGGTCCAGAGAGGAAGCGATACTTTGAAAGTTGAGACGGATGATACTGGGGAGTTGAAACAAATAGATTTTTTACAAGTTAGAGCAATAAAGTCTGGGATAAAAGAACCCGCAGTCATGAAGAAACCCTCTGGAATTCCCAAAAGTAGAAAAGAACACATTCTGAAAGGGCCTTTAGGGGGAAATTATACCGTGCTGTAAACCGGCATAATTTTTGGCGAGAATTGCCCACTTCCGATGAGCAGTAACTACATTTTTTAATTTTAATTCGTTTCATTTTACTCATTTAGTATCGTTTTTTTGTGATTTTAAAATAATTTTTTAAGTATGTATTAATAAATTGATTATTGAAATAATTTTAGGACAATACAAAAATAAAGCAGTATATAAGAAAAAAATGTTCATCTCTCAGCTATGAATTTTATAATATTTATATGATAATTTTAACCCGTATATAACATAACTAATATTCATAGCTTAGTTTCTGCATTTTTTTTTTTTTTCTTAGAAACGTTAACTTTGAGTTAACAAATGATATCTCAAATCATGTTATTGTATTTATTTAGAAAGAACTTAATAGAACCAACGAAAAACTTTAAGCGCGGTTTTCTCAAAACTTGCGTTACTGGAGATACCAGGGTCTTTCTTAATGGGGCAGTATAATACATGTTTTTTGCCTGTGGTTGATTTATGGGAAGTGTTAGACAGGGTAATAAAATAGAATATATATCCTTTTTTGGATACAACCCTGATAACTTAATTTGAGCAAGTATTTCTGTGTGCTTTTGAAATTGTAGGTTGGGAAGACACAGCTAAAACACTAATGTATTACAACGTTTTATCGACAAACACAATGTATACTTTATATGATTCAGCTTCATTCATTTTGGCATAAATAGGAACTTGATATAAGTTAAGTTTAGTATAAGTTAAGTCCTGTAATTTTTTTTTCCTTTAACCACCCTGCTATTGTTTATAACAATATCCGCTATAGTCATGACAAATATGACCTACAACTGATCAACAAGATAAGAGAACAAAAGAACAGAGCAAAGCAATGTGTTTAAACATCAACACAAAAATCAAAATTAATGGTAATCTCCAGAAACCAAGGTATACGAGCCCTAACAACAATATGTTGGGACAAGGTCTTTTTTGCAATAAATATAGTAATTTGTTAAAATGACTCAATTTATTTTGTTTGTTATTCTAAATTCAAACATTACAATATGATCTAGACAATTTTACTATATTTTTATAACTTTGCAAACAAATCACTTTTGATGATAGCTTATTTTGCCAAAATCAAGCCAAATTTGCTGACAACTATATATTGGGACAGCACAACAAAAAATTTGTTTTATACGGAGTTACATCACCTTTCGCCTTAACAACTGCCTGAACTCTTAATGGCATTGTATTTACCAAAGATTGGCACATTTGAGGAGAAAAATTATCCCAAATTTCCTGCAGATTTGTCCACAAATCAAAAATTGTTCATTGAGGGTGGTTTCTTAAATATTGCATCATATTATGCCACACAGTTTCTATAACATTGAGGTCCGGACTACTTGCAGGATGGGATAGAACTTTTTATATTATTATTACCGAACCAATTTTAGTTGATTTTGCTGAATGGCACGATGCTCCATCTTGTTGGAAAGTAGAGTCTTCGTTTGGAAACAATTCTTGAGCACTAGCAAAAGTGAGGTCTCAAGTATATGTTGATATTTTTGGGCGTTAAGAGTGCCATCTATAAAATTTAATTTGCCCAAACCTGTTGCTGACATGCAACCCCAAACCATAATCCCCTTAGGAAATTTAACAACCCTCTTTAAGCAATCTTTATGCTTCTGCTTTATTTCGTATTATTCGTTTTCGATGATCTCCAACGCAAACATCAAATTTAGACTCATCACTAACTTATTCTAATCATTTTGTGTCCACGATAATTTAGATTTTGCCCAATTGTAGGGATTTTTCTTTTAAATTTCTGTCAGTAGCGGTTTTTCTTTGGCCTAAATAAGAATTTGTATCAATAATCTTCAGGTAATTGATTATCCACACAAAATAAAAGTTTACATTGTAAAACCCCAGACCGCATTTATGGATATATTTTCGGCAACATTCTCTTATTACAGTAGAGGGTTGGAACCTTTGGTGTTACACAGCAAAATAAAACAGTAAATCACCACAATACACCAAAACACTTTTACTTTTACACTGGACACGCGTTTCGCTAACCATGTTAGCATCATCAACAGACGATAAACTAGTTTTAGAGTTTATAATCATCTGCTGATGATGCTAACATGTTAGCGAAACGCGCGTCCAGTGTAAAAGTAAAAGTGTTTTGGTGTATTGTGGTGATTTAGTGTTTTATTTTGTTTTGTTATTTAACATTCTCTTGATATATTTAAACCAGTTACAGTATTCCATTTAACTGTTACTTCGCGAAGAGTACTTCTTCTCGCTGACTTGCAAATTTTTACTAAATTTCGTAAATCTCTCTGAGATACAAGTTTTGGCCTTACCGAACTTTTACCTCTAACGTCTACATTGGCAGATTCGCCGTGTTTTTTTTTATTATATTAAAGACCGTGGTTTTTGGAATACTTAAACCATCAGAAATTTTTCAAATTGTTTTTCCCGTACTGTATTGACGAATGATAATTTCGCGTAGTTTTTGATTTGTAGCTTTCCCACGGACCATTATTTTGAATTAAATTAACAAAATGGAGAATTAAAAAAAATACAATTACTTACAGTAAATCTCACTACTCAAAGTATCGAGTCACTTACAAGCTGTCAATGCTGAAGTAAACAGTTTGCGACATTTGTGACGTTTATAGCAAAGCCGCCTATGATGATATTAATTATTTAAAAATACTTGTCCCAACATTTAGTTGTCAGCAAATTTGTCCTTTTATGAACAAAATCCGCTACTGTAAATATGGATTGATTTACAAATTCATAAAAATATTGTCAAGTTGTTTAGGATATATGGCTATGTTTATATTTAACAAATTAAACATATATTTTTCAGTCATTTTGAAAAACCAGGGCAATAATTCCAAAATATGACCTTGTTCCAACATATAGTTGTTAGGGCTCGTATTTGAAAACTTCACCATAAGCAATGGAAAATGTTATCGCAAACCACTAGTAGATATGCATTAGAAGAAGTAGAGGAACTACCCTGTTATTATTCAGTTCTTTACCTTTGGTTTTTCAAGAAGACAACACAAAACTTCTCCGTGTCTCGTGGCTTCCGATAGACAATTCATTCATATGGCCAGTCAAGGGCCCGCTTCGAAATAATGTTATTATGCCGACGTTTGGACTTAATTATGGCGACCGTTCTCGGTCGGGGCGATTTATTGAAGGCGGCGCGTACAAAAGTCGTCGTGGACTGGGGAAAAAGCCGGTAAAACCGGCGTTTTTTTGCAAATGGACGTTAATAATACGAGAATTGAAGAGGGGTTAGCGGTGGTACGTATAGACCACCCATTGGTACTCATTGTCTGAGATAAAAATCGAGAAAAAATGATAATGAAACGGTGTTTTTTTTTCTGATTTATTTTTTGAACTTATTATACAGGGTGTTTTTCTACAGTGGATAAAAATAAGTAAAAGTTCGTATAAAATGTATACCCTAAAATGATTAGTTTCGGAGATACAGGGTGTAGAAGTTTCATTTTTATTTCGATTTT